CTAAATTTGCATGCAAATCATCTCCCGGAGGAAACGGTGGAAGCAAATTTGAACATTGATGGACTATAAAATCAGGTTTGTGTTGGAGTGGCAATCGTAACTTTCTTCATTCACAAGTACTTGAAAGGATTGCTTGCAACAAGGAAAGATGCCCTTGGGCCAAAAAAGAAAGTGAGCTTTCGAGAATCATCGTGGAAGGATTATTCAAACACCCCGATGTCAAGTGTCAAGTTTTATTGCCGATTATTTTTATATAGGTTTCAACTTGAAATAAATATTGATCTCCCTGAATTCCCGAGGGATTCTTTTTGGTAAGCAAGAAAGCAAGTGATTGTTGCGCTGATCACGTGTCCCTGAAGATTCTTCTATCTACCTGCAGAGGATTCTGTTATTTCCAAATAACTAATAACTGAGTAATTATTTCGTTGAGCAATTATTTTCTTCTCCGAAACCAAAGACAGCAATCAGCAGCCCTTGGAATTCCCGAAGTTCGTCCGAAGAAACCGACTTTGTTTTTTTTTTATACGACAAAATCGCGTGACACGATATTTTCAACTCTGCAATTATCCAGGCTATTATTGAGAACTGTTTGCGTAATGACACGAAACTGTCATACATCTTTCCCAAATCGTTACTCTTCTTCGAAAAGAAATAATCAAGAAAAATTGCATCTAATCTTGAACGAAGATGAGTGAAACAAAGGGAGCCAGAAATTGCGCATTATTCTGCCCAACTCTAAAACCGTTCCCGAACCTTTTGACTTATTCTTTTCTCAATTTTCGACCAAGGACATGCCTACGAAATTAGCAACAGCAAAAAAAATTGTTTGCACAATTCACTTCCCCGAAGTTTGAAATATTATCCTCGCAGAAAACCGCTTGAATGATGAGCGTATTCGAGATGAATGGAACAATGGGAAATATTGACCGAAAAGGTAATTCTTCCTTTTACACAAGACTTTGTTCGAATATTGGAATTTAAATTGAAATGTCGGCTGAATGGAAATTCGAGTCGAATTTACTGATGGTTTTCGGGAAAATGTATCCCGAAAATTCTGACCTCATGGAATCATTAAATAAGTCCTGTAACTATTTTAAAACCTCCAGAAACATCTGCCTTTTACCTACAAACCTTTTAAAAATTATATCAATGGAATTCAGTCAAACAATTTTGTTTCTCTCAAAATTTTAACTGAATCATCCCGTTTTTGGCCTGCTTGTACAATATTAAACAACAAATGCCAATTTATGTTGAAGTTATATATCTGGCTTTAAATGAAAAAAATTACTCTCCAAAAGTTATCGTAAATGGATGCACTGAAACCCCCTGGAAATCGAATTCTTTACGAGATTGAAAAAATATTTCTTTGGTGCAAAAAAAACATTGACTTCGAGAATGCGTGTCATCCAAAACCATGCATATTGGAACCAGAAAAAAATAAAGGGAAGAAATTATAAATTGCGCAAGAGTTTCTATCCTTGGGGGAGAGAGACTAACAATGCGAAGCCTCGTTTTGAAAAACAAAAAATTTTTCTGGGGTCACTTTCCAGCAGAGAAAAATACGGACCATCACGCGATTGTTTTCGCCCGTTGGCGGGGCTGTTCAAAAATCAACGGGATCTTCAAGTGCTGTTATACTGTATATAGGACGTATGAATGACTCCGATGTGCAAAACAGGGTCATCAGCAAATGATTGCTTCTCCACATTTCGACTCCCCAATGGCCCCTTTTTCCGATATCCATTCTGACCTTCGATTAGATACAGAAGTTGGTAATAATGAAAACCGCACTGAATTCGTGTGACCGGGAAAATCATGTGAAATTCGAAATTATCATGCAGATTTCCCCCATTAACCTGAAATTGGCATAGGGGGATCAGAATGACTGAATTTGCCAATATAGAAAAGAGGATTTTACAGTGCTCGTAAATTCCACGATGTTCCCAATATCCTTGAAAAAACGTGGATTTTGACGATCTTCTGCTAAATTAGTTTTATTCATTCAGAAAATGAAAGCATTCAAAATGATTCTGAAGTCACGATCGAAAATTGATTATGAAATTGAATCCGTCTTTGTTCCGTATATTGAGCATTCGTATATTTGCAGATGAATTCTCTTGTTCTCTCAAGAAAAGAAATATCCTACGGGGAAAATCAATTTATTTTACGAAATTATTTTCTTTCTGAAAACTCTGCCTAATAAGAGAATATATTTGTTAATATAAAAAATCTCGCTGAAAATGAAGAAACATCACAACTTCAAACGTATGGCACGTGGAATTATTATGCAAATACATTTTTTAAGCTATCTCTCAATATTGACAAAAGGGGAGCAACTGTATGAATTTATGGCAGCCAAGGTTTTTGAAAGTTTGTAGTTATTCCATTGAACCTGAATTTTTTTTAACAAATAAAGGATGATGCTGCAACATCTCATGCTTAATATAAGTTATGGTCCAGAATTTGTGTTCAGTTCAATTTTAATTTTTCTTGTGGGTTCAAGGAGCAGACTTATTTTTCTATATATTCAACTTTGGTCAACAAAACCTTTGTCTGCTGGGAATTTTCAAGATTTTCAACAAATGGTCCACTGCATTTTACTCAGGACTAAAAAAGGCTTGTTTGACTTCAAATGAATACAAAATTGAGCTATAAAGTATCAATAAGTGATATAATAAATTCATAACAAATTTTCTCTTGCTGCTTATTTCCATCTCTTGAGAATTTATGTATTATATTCCCTAATAACCAAGAGATTTTTTTATAAGTGTGCATCAGCAATTCAATTTTACTCAATGATGCCTGGAAACTGATGATTAAAAATGAAATAATAACCGGGATACTCCCAAGACTCTGTTACACCGTTGCCCCATGCTGTATTTTAAAACGTCCTCCCAAACTGCTTCTTTCTCGTGCATCAAACACGAAATATTCCGGACTAATTTTTCGGGGACACACAAAAAACAAAAAGGAAAAAGCGAGGTGCAAGTATTGTATAGCCAGAAACCGAACTGGAAATTGAAAGACGTAAAAGAAACAGATGTCGGGAGAGAGGTGAAAGAAAACTCAAAGAATGTTCAGGGAAAAGATGAGAGAGAAAAACTAAATAAAAAAGGAACGGATTGCGGTGTAAGGTCAAGTTGCCTCAGCTTAAACTACTATAGGGGTTCCCTTGACCCGCGTCGGTGACCTGGGCTCGTCCCGTCTGTCATTATCCCCTTGCTCGCAAAAGGCGAGACTCGCTAATTGCGGGACTGATTCAATCTTCTGTCCTTCTTCTTCTTCTCCTCCTCCTCCCCCCCCCCTCTATTTTGTAAACAAGCCCCGCTGTTACTGAAATTGATGCTTGGAGGAATATTCTGCACGTTTAATGATAATGGAACGCCACCGATTTATGAAGGTGAGACTCTCTCCTTTCCAATTATTTTCAGCCGTCAGGACCAAAATATCTTTCCTGCAGAAAATTTGAAGATGATTTACAACTAATGGAAAAACATTCGTTTGACAATGCAGAATAATTTAAAAAAATGATAATACACAGTTGGCTGAAATCTCATGATTATACGCAAAAAGTCTAGCAACATTTTATAGAATCAACATTTTTGGATTTTAAAAATATTTCGGCATATGTAAAATTTAGCCCGCCCATGGGTACATACGCAGCTGACAGATTAAAAATGAAAACATTTGTAAAAATTGTATGCACAAAAATTAGAGATGTAATGTACTTTAATGATATATGTATATAGTCATATGTCTAATAAAATGAAGCAAAATACAAATTTTTGCAAACTGAGATGGACTCTGTTTATCAATAAACTATTCATACATTATTCAAAGTTATTCAAAAGTAAAATTAATATAAGTGCATGCCAGACAAAAGATCGAAATATA